CCTATGTCAAAATTAGCTTGAGCACACTATGCCATCAAATATCAAGAAGACAAACAAGTAGAACTTCCTACATCATAAAATAAACAAGCAGATAAATCAACACTGATAGTAGATCTGATGCCACCAATCCTTCCAGCTCTATGATTCTAGGAGTAAGCTAACTTGAGCCCAATGGAGTACCATAGACATTCTGCATGTTGCTGAACTACATCTCCCAGCATTCCTCACTATTGGCTGTGCTGGTTGGGAACTGCTTAAATTGCAGACTATCAACAACTGGAAGTCCATACTACTAAGCTGTTATAATGCCTAAGGAATTTTTAAAATGTTTTTGTTTGATACCCCCAAATGAAACAACATTCTAGGCGGGACTTTGGATACACGGGAATTCATGAATGAAACCAGGTATTCTCCTGGGGTTCTGATTCATCTCTTCGAAGGAGGTCATCAGTATTAGGGAATCATACTTTTCCTTTTCATACAATCCTGTAAAATTCAGGGTGGATTGAACTATCAGTGGTGATTACTCTTGATTACATTAGGATAGAAGCTCATATACTAATTTTTGAGTTTCCAATTATGGAGCTGCAACCATAGAGCATATTAACCTATAGTTTGCTCAGCCCTGGCCTGCTGGCAGACGCACTGGAAAATTCATGCCTTATATTCCGCCCTTTTGACAAATCAAAGTGATTGAGTTTACACAATATGTTATGTCAACACGACGCAAATTATGTTAGGATTTGCTAAGAGATATGGCCCAGTAAGAAAGGTGGACTGGAAATACTTCTTGTTTGATCCCATGGAATAGTCTCATCTCCTGCTGTTGAAAGAGTAGCATGGGTTACAATATGTCTACACACTGCTTGCACACTTTTCTATTCATGAGTTATGGAACAATAAAAGTGACACGCTAAGCCATTAGCAATGACTTACAAAGTACAATGGAATTCACTCAACTCACTAAACCCAACCAAGCAAACCACATTACTGTAGAGCAAGTCATCATCCTTTATAGATTGAAACAATTAAAGCATCATTTCAATCTATCACCCTACAGTATCTCACCAGGTTCCCCAAAAGATGCACATGGATTGTTTATTGCTTACTTTGATTTTTTTTTTTTAGATCAGTTTGTATCCAACCCTAAATTCAAACCAAGTCTCACAGGACCCCGTCTTCATGCAAAGTCCACATACTGTTAGCAACATGAGTTCTATAGGTAGACCAAATCAATTCCCTATGGTCAAGATAAGAAATTGAAAATATAATTCAAAGGAACCTTCCGTTTTCATCTGTAATGCAAAGCCTTCATGAAGGCCAATGGAATTGGCATAAAGTTAAGGCTTCAGCAGAAGGTCATTTTTTTCTGCACAATGGGAAAACTCTACGTGAAAGAGCCATCCCTGAAAGCATCTTACAAGCTTGATCGCTATAGATCATAGTGGTTAAAATATTGAAATCTTTTACTCTACTGGTACCTAGCTATTCTAACAAGTCTCTTTCAAGTTGAAATTAACTCGTTCATGAACTCATCCATCCATTTTTCTTGGAAAGAGCACAAGTACTGTATGGTTTGCCTCTGTATTCTTCCTAGACATTTAGCACTATCTAGGAAGTGTTAGATAGTGTTACGATGGATAGACTCTTGATAGCCTACAAGAGGCTATCTGGGGGCTACCTGGGAATCTCCTATCCAGGTGCTAGCATGGTGTGACCCAGTTTAGCTTTTCCGCCCAGATAAAGTCAGCTTAATGCTGGTTACTTCCCCTTGGTGCCCCAACACTGTAGACCACTCAAAGTCTGTAGAGATTTTCAGTCATCCAGGTCATGGTTTTTCCCAAAGGTGCTTTTTTTCAGGAGACAACTGGACTTTCTTGTTTTCTCTTTTTCTCCAAGTGGCCTCAACGACCCTCTAAAAGGATGCAAATGACCAGCTGTCTGCAAGGAGTATAAATCCTTCCATTCCCCACCATCCTGTCAGAGCTGAAGAAGCTTCTTGGATGAGAAGCGAAATGTCTTCAAAAAGAAAAAACAAGAGAGTCGAGTTGCCTCCTGAAAAAGCACCTTTGGGATAGACCATTCAAGTACCCCTTTAAACAAAGGTATTTTGAGTAGAGGGATTTTCACGGGGGTGGGGGGAGGGAGAGGGACAGAGAGAGACAGAGACAGAGACAGAGAGACAGAGAGAAGGGGAGAGAAAGAGAGAGAGAGAAATCTTTCTTTTGTTGTAATTTTGGAGACTATAGTAGAGGTAGTCCTTGACTTACAATGGTCTTAGTGACTGTTCAAAGTTAGAACAGCACTGAAAAAAGTGACTTATGGCCATTTTTCACACTTATAACTATTGGAACATTCTCATAGCCATGTGTTTTACATTTGGACGCTCGACAACTGACTCATATTTATGATTGTTGCAGTGTCCCGGGCAGTGGTGGGATTCAAATTTATTTATTTATTGGTGGGATTCAAATTTATTTACTACTGGTTCTGTGGGTGTGGCTTGGTGGGGAAGGATACTCTAAAATCCCCCTCCCCACCCCACTAACCTGCTTTCCGGCTCCGTTCTCCTAGGCAGGGCAACCAAAGAAGACCCAGCCGATCATCTGGGACTCAACGGGAGGCAGCAAATAGATGAAGACGGAGCCAGTCAGAGGTGGTATTTGCTGCTTCTCCAAACTACTCAAAATTTCCGCTGCTGGTTCTCCAGAACCGGTCAGAACTGGCTGAATACCACCTCTGCTTCCCCCCCACTAACCTGCTTTCCAGCTCCGTTCTCCTGGGCAGGGCAACCAAAGGAGACCCAGCCGATCAGCTGGGACTCAACAGGAGGCAGAGAATAGATATGGGGTTGGCGGGACCAGTCAGAGGCGGGATTGGCCGGTTCTCCCAACTACTCAAAATTTCTGCTACTGGTTCTCCACAACTGGTCAGAACTGGCTGAATCCCACCTCTGGCCCTGGGATCACATGATCCCCTTTTGCAACCTCCTGACAAGCCAAATTAAGGAGGAAACAAGATTCCCCTTAACCACCATGCAGCTAATTTAACAACTGCAGTGATTCCCTTTTCCAACATGGAAAGAAAAGTCATATAATGGGGGCAAAACTCAATTGACATTCAGCAACACAAAATTGGGGCTCCATTGTGGTCATAAGTTGACCGTTACCTCTGCCTGTACCTGACCTGCAAGAGGGCATTTACTTCTCCTCATCCCAAATCTGATCTCCAAAATGAGCACAAATACACAATAGGGCTGTTTTCACAGAACACGCAGGTTTATTAGTGACAATGAGCAGGGCCCACGTTAAGTAAAAAAACGCTCTGCCATGCCATCGATAGCCGGTGTAGTAGCTAAACCCCATTTTAAGCACTGGTTCATTAGCATTTCCTAAGATGGAAGCTCCAAGTGTGTTGGAGTACAACTCGTTACGGTTGGGGAATGATAGGAGTACTAGTCTGAACACCCAGAGTGGAAACGCTTTACGAAAAGATTTGGGGGGCAGAATTTAGTGAAGTAATAAAGTAATAAGTGGAGGAAAGAATGGATGGAAACAGACCTCATGGCCTCCTCTCCAGCAAATCATACATTAAACAAATATTCTCTTTGTCTCACAGTTAAACTGAACTGCCTACGATTTTTTAAAAAAATACAAACACATGCCTTTCCCCATTTGTAAGAATGCAATACATTCTGCAGGAATTAAAATAATTTTGCCCTCTTATTTTGCAAAGGTATCATTGAAGAGAGAATAACCTGAGAGAAATGCTCAGATAAACATAGGAGAAAAAAGAGATTTCCTTGTATTTTGCTTCTATATTTTATACTAAGTATGGGAAGATACTTGATTGGGGCATCACAGTCTCAAATACCTCTTTTTGCTCATGTCTAAAAGAGAAATACGTAAGTACAATTCTTTTTGTACTATCCTAAAAGGCTTCAGCATATCAAAAAGACAACTATCATTGGGAAAAAAATATAAGTTTTTGCAGATGTGTTCACCCAAATTAGCAGAAGTATCTCAACAATATGCCAAGCTTGGTTAGGGTTAATATTAATTACTTGGGTACATAAGCGTGGCTGAGTGTGTTCCATGAATCCAGATTATAACAGAAAATAAGTCATTTTAGTAAACTTGGTTTATTGTGTTCCGTGGATGTAGCATTAATCAAGCAACGATAGAGATTCTTAAGCTTTGGGATTTCTGGAGACAGTTTTAAAAACGATGTGAATAGACATTGGTGCAAAAACTACAAAGTCAAGATTCTAAGCATTTTGTGACAAGAAGTTTCAGTAGAAACTAGAAAAAGGAACTTTGATTAGAAAGCCATTTTGAAAGAGAAAATTTTTCCCCCTCTCTGCGTGTTACATTCAACAATTCTGCATCCGCTACATATATGGTTTTCAAGCAGTCTGCATTATTCTTTTCAAGAGACTTGTCAAACAATGTGAAATACAGACTGTGTCGAAATAAAAGTACCTTGTGACTATGTTGGCTTTTGGTCATTTGTGTCTAATTTCTTCATTAAGCTACTCATTGTTTTCCCAAACTTTCAAGAATTAGAAATATATTCTTCTACAACCTCCTTCTGACATTCCAAAAACACTGAAACTGCTAATACCTTGGGTAGAAAAAAGAATATGTATAATTGTTGAGATACTTGCGGGAACAGCATCAAAATGTTGTAGAAACCCTTGCTAAATGCAAGATATCATTTCATTAGGCCCAAATTTATGAAAAAAATGTTTATTTAGGTGCGTTTACATTTTCACAGAAAGAGTTATGTCAGTGTTAAGGAGCACAGCATTTTCTCTTTCTATCTCTTCCTCCTTTCCTCTCGCTAGGTAGCTAAACATAAATCCACTTATAGAAGAAGATAACTCATAATAAAATGTAATTTTTGACACTAGAAAATTCTGCTAATTTGAATATCGTCAAATAAGCCTCAGGAACAAAGAGGTTACTTTGCATCTAACGCCAGATTATTAAAAAAACAAGAACAATTACCCCAACTAGCTACGAAGAGAATTTTGCTGCAGATTCATATCAGCAAAGGTGATAAGAGAGAGAGAAACGTTACCTTGCTCCATATGAGCGCCTGAATTCTCCATTCTAACTTTTTGACTCTTCGCACGGATGGAGGAATAACTGCTCCAGCTGCTGAGATTGTTAAAAAAAAATAAAAATCACACACACATAAGAGGGAGGAGAAAGGAACCCACAGCGGAGATCCTTAGAGAAAGCTATTCCCTCTATACCCCAGCTGGACGCTTAACTGCCAGCCCAAGCTACTCTCTTGCCAAGTTTGCTGATTTTGCCTCTCAGTTTATTGTTTCTTTTGCAACCACTAAGACCACACAGCTGCTAACAGGGGGTGGCAAATAAAAATCTAGATAGATGGAGGTGGGGGGAGAGAGAGGGAGAGAGAGAAGGGAAAGTAGAGAGAGCGAAACGAAGGTGTGTATTTGTAGTTCAGGGTTGAAATGTAGGGTTCTTGCTGCTTTCTGAGCTCGGTTATTTTCCTGCAGATATTTCATTACCCAAACTAGGTAACATCATCCCTAATGACTAGCACTGGTGATGTTACCTAGTTTGGTAATGAAAGGTCTACAAGAAAACAACCAAGCTTAGAGAGCACCAAGGACCCCTGAGAAAGATAAATACTGAGTAGATACAGTAGGAGACAGACAGACGGAGGGATGAATATATAGATGGGTGGGTGGATAGATGGACAGACAGACAGATCATAGATAAATATGGATGATAGATATGACTTTGATAATCATCTTTAGAGAAATAAAATTATATCTAGAAAAGGGTTGGAGTTATGTATTTTTCTCATGCTTAAAATCCTGACTTTTTTCTTCTTCTTATGAAATGACCAGTCCAAGACACTAGTCCAATAGCAGGAGGACTTAAAATGTCTGAATTTATTCACCACCATAGTTACGTAAATGATTCTATGTGGGAGGTAACTTGAAAGACCTCATTTTCATGTTCACATTTCCCATAACAAGGACATGAAAGCTTGAAACCAAAAGAATGGTTTCTTTCTTTCTTTCTTTCTTTCTTTCTTTCTTTCTTTCTTTCTTTCTTTCTTTCTTTCTTTCTTTCTTTCTTTCTTTCTTTCTTTCCTTCCTTCCTTCCTTCCTTCCTTCCTTCCTTCCTTCCTTCCTTCCTTTCTTTCTTTCCTTTCTTCCTTCTTCTTTCTCTTTCTTTCTTTCTTCCCTCTTTCCCAGCTTTTCTTTCTTTCTTTCTCCTTCCTTTCCTTTCTTTTTCCAAACACTTTTGATATTCTGACCTCTGTATTTGCTTCTGGGGGGAGAATTAATGGCCAAATCAGTGTTAAAATTCAGAATAGAAATGGAAACTGGTTCAAATGCAATCATGTTCTTGTGCTTTTCTCCAGTCTCATTAAAAATCATCATCATAATAATAATAATTATGAGCTTTACTATTGCTTTTTTAATGCAACAACCTAACTGATAAGGATGGTTTAGAGAATTACCTAGCAAATAATGTGGGATTTTTTAAAAACCACATTCATTGAGGAGACATGGAAGAATGATCTAACAATGGGTGACCTTCATGAGAATTCTACTTTTTCTAAATGGTTTGGATCATTTATATATAGTAAGCTATAGAAAAATATATAGAATGCTTAACTATTGAACTAGTTAATACTTTTCATTCTAAGTAATATACGATTGTAAATACTGTTTATTTCTAAGCACACTATTTTGCTTATCCACATAATAATTAGAACTCTATACTGTAGACCAGAGTTTACCAAGCAAGTAATGTTGTCCTGTCAAAAACAATATATTTTACATTTCAATGAAGACTAATTAATCCATCAATCTTTTTTTTAAAAAAACTGGAAGATGAAAAGAATTGACTTAGTCCATAGCATGGATGTTCCAACTGGAATTAATATTTTTTTTAAAAAAATGAAGGGAGAGTGGGTTTTTTTGTTCACTTTGTTTTAAACGAAGTTGACTAGATGATGTAGACAGGAAGCATGAAATACAAAATCTAAAGAGAAAAAAATGTGGTTGCAATATTGATCAGTTGTTATATTATTTCAGTTTGTTGGGGTCCCTCCCTGAATCCCCCATTGGAACACTTGTCAATATCTAATTTGAAATCATGCTGCTCCGGATACTTAACTTGCTATATGCAGAGGGTGGGCAGAGTGAAATAGACATAGATAGGATATGGAGGGATGAATGGAGATACAAATAGACAGGCACAAAGATATAGATAGATATGGACAAACAAACAGACGGATAGATAGATAGATAGATAGATAGATAGATAGATAGATAGATAGATAGATAGATAGATGAACAGATAGATGGCTGGCTGGCTGGCTGGCTGGCTGGATGGATGGATGGACAAACAGATGACTGGATGGATGGATGGATGGATGGATGGATGGATGGATGGATGGATAGATAGATAGATAGATAGATAGATAGATAGATAGATAGATAGATAGATAGATAGATAGACAGACAGACAGACAGACAGATGGATGACTGGATGGGTGGGCGGGTGGGTGGATGGATAGATAGATAGATGATAGATAGATAGATAGAGATATATAGAAGTTAAATAGATATAAATAAAGATCATTCACATTTCATTGAATTTCTGCCGTGGAAAGAATAAATTTTCTCTAAGAAACTGGCAAAAAAAGGCCTTCAGACTTTTGCGGCCACGGTAGCAAGAGTGGGATCTTACGGGACAGCCCACCGAAATAGTTTTTCAATATGACCAAACAAAAAAAAATCCAAAGTGATAAAAAGAAATAAAAGTGAAAGATCCCGCCGTGTAGCCCACAACCAACATTCACTTACCGGGAGTCTCTAAGAGGATTTCGAACAGAAAACCTTTCTATTTGTGTGTGTGTGTGTTTGTGTGTGTGTTTGCATGTGAGTATATGTGTGCACACATGCATACAGACACATAGACACCTATACATACATGCACACAAAGACACGAATGCATACATACACACATACACATACACAAAGCACCACCTTAAAAAGGAAGGTTGTTTTCCTCTCCATTTTGTCAAGAGCCACGAAAGTAACCCCATGATCAGCTTTTCAGAGAAAAATTGATTCTGATGTGGAAAGAAGCACACAGAGACAGACACACACAAAAACCACACTTTTCTCTCTTTCTCTCTCTCTCTCTTTGTCTCTCTTTCTCTCTCTCTCTCTCTTTCTGTATCTCTCTCTTTCTCTCTCTCTCCCTCAACACACATTAGTAGCCCTCACCCACCTTTCCAAAACTCCATTGCTCTCCTGCCCTCTTTTCTTATATCTATTTTCTTTTCTTTTCTTTCTTTTTTTTCCCCTCCAATACAAAAACCCCGCTTAACTCTGCAAAGACAAGGAACATCTGTTTGAATGGCAGCCAACTCCACAAGTCCTTCCGAAAAAGCAAAACAAGAGTTTTTTTTAAAAAAAGGAGAAAAAAAGAAACAAAAATTAAACAAAACCAAACACCCAGGCTTATTTTCTCTCTCTATGGATATATATATATATATATTTCTCCGTCCTATTCACTCTGCGGCCCACGGCCCCCTTGGAGTTCACCATTTCCCAAATACCCAGCGACAATTTTTTTAAGGCTGCTGCACCCAACAGAAATTCTCTCCCTTGAGTTATCCCGAGGCAACTACAGTCTCGGATTTCCTATGCCAAATTCAGATTTCGACACCCCCTTTTACCCACCCACCCATCCATATTAACTTCCTTTCTTCTCTCTCTTATTCCTCCCTCTCTCCCCCCACCCCACCACCACAAAATACAACGTACCTTCATCGCCACTCCTCCCCAAAGGAGTTTATTCTTCAGTTGTCAAGTTTAAAAAGAAAAAGAAAAAGAAAAAGAAAGAAAACTGTGGGAGGGATAGAAAAGGAGGGAGAAGAAAAAAAAAGAAAGAAAAACAGGAGGGTTTTGGGGGAGGGAAGAAAGTAAAGGAAGAAAGAAAAAAGATTTCGGGCACCCGAAGCTTGCTGCTTTTTTTTTTTTTCTTTTGTTTTACCGGTTCTGGTCTAAAAATAATAATTAAAAGAAGCAAAACCCTGCCAACCAAACGCCTTCCAAATTGTTTAACAAACAAGAGGCTTTTGCTAATGTTTCAGCACCTCAAGGAGGGGAAGTGAATAAAAAAAAAGCAGGGGGTGTGTGTGGGAATAGGTGGGGAAATATCTGTGCCAAATTGGGAAGAAACTGGGGAAAACCCAGTTGCCTGGGGCTTTCTCTGCAGGAAAAGCACACACACCCATTTCCAAAAGGGTGTGGGGGAGAAACACCTCTGCCCACCCCCCCACTAATTAAACCCGCTCATTGCACATCGGGACACAAGGATTCGGTGGAAAATAAAACTATTCTTTTTTAAAAAAAAAATAATAATGGAAAGGCATGTTTTTATTGCATGAGAAATTTGGGGGACGGCCTTAGGGATGTTGCGCGCACATACAGACCCACAGACACAGACACACGATCACACACACACACGCACACACACACACACACACGGACACAACCCCCTCTGCCCTTGCCAACATTTTTAAAAAGATGTCAGACAAGTTGCTAAGGAGACTTGCAGGAAACTCTGAATGCCAGCACCGTGCCTTCGCCTCTCTCTCTCTCGCTGCTGATACAGAAATCCCATCTTGCATTCTGATCACGCTCTGCTGCGGCATAGGAACACCGATGCTTTGCAGTAATCCTGGCTTTTAATGCCTCAACGGGCAAAGCAAATTGTTATCTGTATCATCTTTCAAACTTAGCAAGTTGGGAGAGGGAGAGGGAGAGGAGGGAGGGAGGAAGAGAGGTTCAGGGAAATGGGCTTGGTTTTTTTTTGGTTTTTTTGGTTTTTGTTTTTCAGAGAGAGGCAACAGGAGGGAAAAGGAGCCAAATGTGTTGAAATAGGTTGCTTTAATTTGGAATAGACATGTGTATGTGTGCAATGTGTACATGCGTGTTTATGTGTGTGGCTGGAGGGAGAGGGAGAGGGGGAGAGAGAGAGAGAGAAAGAGAGCTTCCAAATTATATGGCAATGTTATGCTTGGCATCTCTTGAATGCAAAATTGGAATAGGTATATATATGTCTCTCTGTCTCTGTCAGTCTCTCGATAGATGATAGATTGATGATAGATAGATAAATAGATAGATAGACAGACATAGATAGATTCAAATTATATGGCAATCTTCATAAGGGATCATGTTTTGTATCTCTTGAATGCAAAACACAGGAATAGATACATATATTTATGTGCCTATACCTATGTGCTTGTCTGTATCTCTATTATCTGTCTATCTATCTATCTATCTATCTATCTATCTATCTATCTATCTATCTATCTATCATCTGTCTATTTCTTTATCTGTCTGTCTGTCTATCTATCTATCCATCTATCATCTATCTATCTTTATATTTATCTATCTCTATCTCTGTTTAATCTATCTGTCTTCCATTTATCCATTCATCTAACTAGCTAGCTAGTTAGTTATCTATCATCTATCTATTCCAAATTACAGGTGAAACTTGAAAAATTAGAATATCGTGCAAAAGTTCATTTATTTCAGTAATGCAACCTAAAAGGTGAAACTAATATATGAGATAGACTCATTACATGCAAAGCAAGATAGTTCAAGCCGTGATGTGTCATAATTGAGATGATTATGGCTTACAGCTCATGAAAACCCCAAATCCACAATCTCAGAAAATTAGAATATTGTGAAAAGGTGCAATATACTAGGCTCAAAGTGTCCCACTTTAATCAGCTAATTAAGCCATAACACCTGCAAAGGGTTCCTAAACCTTTAAATTGTCTCTCAGTCTGGTTCAGTAGGAATCATAATCATGGGAAAGACTGCTGATCTGACAGTTGTGCAGAAAACCATCATTGACACCCTCCATAAGGAGGGAAAGCCTCAAAAGGTAATTGCAAAAGAAGTTGGATGTTCCCAAAGTGCTGTATCAAAGCACATTAATAGAAAGGCATGTGGAAGGGAAAGGTGTGGAAGAAAAAGGTGCACAAGCAGCAGGGATGACTGCAGCCTGGAGAGGATTGTCAGGAAAAGGCCATTCAAAAGTGTTGGGGACTTTCACAAGGACTGGACTGAGGCTGGAGTCAGTGCATCAAGAGCTACCACACACAGACGGATCCTGGACATGGGCTTCAAATGTTATATTCCTCTTGTCAAGCCACTCCTGAACAACAAACAACGTCAGAAGCGTCTTACCTGGGCCAAAGAAAAACAGAACTGGTCTGTTGCTCAGTGGTCCAAAGTCCTCTTTTCTGATGAGAGCAACTTTTGCATCTCATTTGGAAACCAAGGACACAGAGTCTGGAGGAAGAATGGAGAGGCACACACGGCAAGATACTTAAAGTCCAGTGTGAAGTTTCCACAGTCTGTGTTGATTTGGGGAGCCATGTCATCTGCTGGTGTTGGTCCACTGTGCTTCATTAAGTCCAGGGTCAATGCAGCTGTCTACCAGGAGATTTTGGAGCACTTCATGCTTCCTTCTGCAGATGAGCTTTATGGGGATGCTGACTTCATTTTCCAGCAGGACTTGGCACCTGCCCACACTGCCCAAAGCACCAAAACCTGGTTCAATGACCGTGGGATTACTGTGCTTGATTGGCCAGCAAACTCGCCTGACCTGAACCCCATAGAGAATCTATGGGGCATTGCCAAGAGAAAGATGAGAGACATGAGACCAAATAATGCTGAAGAGCTGAAGGCTGCTATTGAAGCATCCTGGTCTTCCATAACACCTCAGCAGTGCCACAGGCTGATAGCTTCCATGCCACGCCGCATTGAGGCAGTAATTGCTGCAAAAGGGGCCCAAACTAAGTACTGAGTACATATGCATGCTTATACTTTTCAGAGGTTCGATATTGTTCTGTGTACAATCCTTGTTTTATTGATTGCATGTAATATTCTAATTTTCTGAGATTGTGGGATTTGTGGAGCTGTAAACCATAATCATTGCAATTATGACAAATCACGGCTTGAACTATCTTGCTTTGCATGTAATGAGTCTATCTCATATATTAGTTTCACCTTTTAAGTTGCATTACTGAAATAAATGAACTTTTGCACGATATTCTAATTTTTCAAGTTTCACTTGTATGTGGCAATCTTCATAAGGGATCATAGATATCTCTTGAATGCAAAACACAGGAATAGATACATATATTTATGTAATACCTATGTACCTGTCTGTTTGTATCTCTATTGTCTGTCTGTCTGTCCATCTGTCCGTTGGTCCATCCATCCATCCATCATCTATCTTTACATTTATCTATCTCTATCTCTGTTTACCTGTCTTCCATTCATCCATCTAGCTAGCTAGCTAGTTATCTATCATCTATCTCTTCCAAATTATATTGCAATCTTCATAAGGGAATCATCTCTTGAATGCAAAACACAGGAAGAGATACATATATTTATGTAATACCTATGTGCCTGTCTGTTTGTATCTCTATTGTCTGTCTGTCTGTCCATCTGTCCGTTGGTCCATCCATCCGTCCATCATCTATCTTTATATTTATCTAAATTATATTGCAATCTTCATAAGGGAATCATGTTTTGCATCTCTTGAATAGATTTTTTTTTTTAAAGCACACTTAAGCTTCTGGCTTTCTGTCTGTCACCTTCTAACGGGAATCTGCATTATCTGGCTGGGGTTGCAAGCCCCCTGCTCAATCATCCCGTCTCTCTCCGCAGCATTTTTCCCCAGTGCAAAACCAATTTTCTTGCCCCAACCCAGAGCAGCTGGAGACATAATGCGCTGCTGTTAGACAAAAAAAAAAAAAGCAACTGGTTTTTCCTTTTCTTTTGTACGGGCGTCACGTTGGCCTTTGAGATGAGGAGGGGCTCTTTTACTGTAAAAAGGGGGGAAAAAATCAAAAGAGGTGGGAATCCACTCCCCACCTCGAGCGATGGACATTGGGGACAAATCTCTCCTCTCTTTGTCTGATCCCCTCCAGAGATAGCCATGCCAGGGCTAAGACAAGAATAAACAGTTGGGTTTTCGAGTTTCATTCTTTTCTTTCTTTCTTTTAATAAGTAAGTCTGGGACTGAAATTTACATTTTCTTTCAGTGCTCAGTCACACACCAAGTTCCTTTTCTTCCTTTCAGCTTTCCTCCCCCCTCTTTCTCCATCCGAGCAATATGGTGTGTCAGGAATTCCTAATTTATCCTTGCAGTCAAGGAAGAAGGTGGCACTATATATGTGCTGCAGGATATGTGCACCCAGCAAAGAATTGGCTGGAGAAATAAAACGGGTCCCGTCTTCCCCCGGAAAAGTCTGCTGTGCTTCCCAAAGGCTGTTCGATGTTACAGCTCATTGGATTACAACTTCTTTCAAGCAGGAGGTTTTAATCGTGCCGCCACCCCAAAAGTCAAGTTAGCAGGATTCCACGGAGCCTGTCTTGCTTCCCACCATTGACTGGGACAAGCAAACTTTCAACTTAGAATAACAGAGTTGGAAGGGACCTTGGAGGTCTTCTAGTCCAACCCCCTGCATAGGCAGGAAACCCTACACCACTTCAGACAAAGGGTCATCCAATCTCTTCTTTAAATCTTCCAGTGTTGGAGCATTCGCAACTTCTAGAGGCAAGTTGTTCCACTGATTAATTGTTCTAACCCTCAGGAAATTTATCCTTAGTTCTAGGTTGCTTCTCTCCTTGATTAGTTTCCACCCATTGTTTCTTGTCCTGCTTTCTGGTGCTTTGGAGAATAGCTTGACTCCCTCTTCTTTGGGGCAGCCCCTGAGATATTGGAAGACTGCTATCATGTCCCCCCTAGTCCTTCTTTTCATCAGACTAGACACAGCCAGTTCCTGCAACCGTTCTTTATACGTTTTAGCCTCCAGTCCCCTAATCATCTTTCTTGC